ATTTGCTCGTTATAACCAATATTTCGTTATAGCTGTAGCGGGCATTTACCGGAAATATTATGCACTGTACTTACCCCAAAAAAATAGCGGGCGAAATAGCATCCCGCCCCACGGTGGTATGCAACAATATAACCGCATTCCCAAATGAAAAGGAAAAAAGTCATGCACCTGTTTTAATGCACTTCAAAATACACAGCTTGCATTTCAGGCGGGCCCACTTGGTAGCCTCTGCTTCGTCGACAGATTGTGATTCGCCGCAGGCCGCTCTGCCGACAATTTCGTGGCGTTCCTTGAAGCGTTGGAGCCAACCCGAAGTTGCTACGAAGTTGTCATAGCCCATGATGCAGGCGAAGTCCCTCGCTTTTCCTTGCAGCAAGGCGCCGCTCACCGGCAGATTCACGGCCCGCGTGTCCAAGAACCATTTAAAAAACGGCCCTTTCGACCGCTTCAAAGGCAGGTGCCCTCATCCTCTTAGAGCTTCCTTTCACGCCACGTGCAACGGCGTCGATGATGGACTCCTGCTTGCTCAAGATGGTTTACAGTGTGTGCCAAAGTCTCTTGCCACGTTGCCTTTCTTGGTCCCCGATTCGACGGCTCTTATCATAGCCGCCTTCTGATCTAGCGTTATGCGCTTTCGCTTCCCGTCTGGCGCATTCATGTTGCTGGAATCACGAGCGCAGCATGATAAAAGAAAAGGCGGAAGCGGTCGAAAAAGAGAAGAAACACGCACGCAAAAGCAACGCGGCTTATGTCGACGAGCGACAACACTTGCAGAGAAAGTGACTGTGAAGGGGAAGGGGCGCTCTTTTGCGCTGCCCTCTAGGAACCGGTTACTCAAGGCGAAGGGGATATGTAAGATTAGGAAGCGTGCCTCAGCGCCATGAGAAAGGGGAGAGGGAGAATATAAAGAAGACACAAAAGAAAAGAAAAGGGCGAGACGTTCGCGGAGCGCTCCGCTGTCGGTGGTAGCCAAGCGGCGTACGTGCAGCGAACTCTCCTCCGGAAACAGCGCGTGCCGTCTGCTTTGCGCGCGTTGCTGGAGGGCGCGTGGCGGGAGTTTTGAACTGCTAAATACAGTTCTCGCGTTGCGCACCGTCTCAAATTCGCGTTGTGCACTGTCGTGACATCGGCTCAAAATTTTACTTCCTAACAAAACTTGTTCATTATATTCCATAACAGGCAAATTTTGCCTCGTTAAAATGAGGTTTTGAATACATTGGTTTGTATGGGGACTTTCAAGGGGAATTAGGATTTGCTCGTTATATCCATTATTTCGTTATAGCCCGTCTCGTTATACTGAGGTTTAACTATATTCATTAATTTGCCTTCGAAATCTTCAATAATTTAAATTTGTATCAAAAAAATTTGATGACTGTAATATTTGAATATTTCAAGTGCCCGAATATTTACACATGCCCAGTCGTTACCAAAGCAATAGCTGGAATAAAAGTGCCCCGAGTGAGTTTCTTCCCCCAAAACCAATACAGTTGAACCTGCTTATAACGAACCTCCATACAAGCTTTTCTATTCCCCCGTTGCTCTATAGAAGCACATGTATTTGCGACCTTTATGTAACAAAGTAACAGCGGGAGACAACCTTGATATAACGAATTTTCCCCATGGACAATCTGGAATTTTGCTCCGCATTTTGTAATTTTGGTACAAGCATGCATCTTTCGTAGCTGCCCTGCCGCCGACAAACGGCGCGCACGGCGCACCAGGCGAGAAGCGAGCGCTCGTTATTGGGTGCCGGTGAGTGCGATGCGGGCAGGCGGGCCTGCACACCACGAGCCGGCATTGCTGCCACCCGCCACAGTCATCGCCGCGGGTGCACGTTTGCGCGGGTTTGCCTCCCCCCCCACGCTTTAAAACAAAATAAAAAATAGTAAAATGAACCAAATAGTTTTCATTTTCCACGTCGTGCGCGCATGCATAGTTTCACTGCATGCACATGGTGTGGCCCCCCGACGACGTTCAGCTTTTTTTTCTTTTTTTTCGACGTAACAATTACCGTATTTACTCGATTCTACCGCGCCCTCGATTGTAACGCGCACCCGATTTCCACAGTGAAAAAAAAAAAAATGCAAGACATCGATTGCAACGCGCACCCATTTTTCTCGCTGGCCCGCATGATCACACCCCTCGAAAAAACGACTCCTTTCGGGAGCGTCTTCCATTTAAATATGAGGTACGGGCGAAGCTTGTGCCCATCTGACGTGTAACAGAGCATTGCCGTCACTGTAGTTTTACCGTGGACCGATGTAAGCACGCGAACTTGCTTCGCCCCCTCCTCGACGGTTGTGGTGCCAGGCATGTCGAAGTAAAGAGGCGTCTGATCGGCATTCCCGATTTGCCCAAGCAGGTAGCCGTTGTTGCGCCGCAAGTTTAGGACGAATCTCTGAAAACTGTGAAGCTTTTCATCGTACTCCTCCGCAAAGCTTTTCGCATATGCATGTTCCCCTTCGGAGGGAAAAGCCTTTCCTTTTCATAAAGCTAGTTAGCCAGCACCTGCTCGCTTTGAACTGGCTCCGCATCAGACCTTTTTCTAAGACTAATTGCATAGCCCGCACTTGGAGCAGTTCTGTCGTCACGGGCCGCTGTGCCGCTCGCTGCTCAAGCACATACTCGCCGAGCAGCTCTTTAATTTGCGGAAACCGACCCTGCTGTGGTCCACTGAAACCTTTGCGTGAAGCTTTGCTGTCGACAATCTTCTGCTTTTGTTTCCGCCGGTCCCGCACGCACGTTTCGGGAACTCCGAACGGCCGCGATGCGGCCCGATTTTCGTCCGTTTCTGCACAACGCGATGACTTTTCTTTTAAAAGCGGCATCATGGTGCACTCGAGTTTTTAGAGTCGGCCCTTCCACGCCGTCGATGCTAATGCACTACTAGATGACGAACTCCTCAGCACATGTACGAAGTGCCGCACATGGGAAACACATAGGCAGAAATGGCCAATGTGCCATGCCGACGCACATAGGGGGCGGCCATTTTGGATTTGCCGATGGTAATAGATTTACCGTAATTTTTTCGTTTGTACTCGATTCTAACGCGCATGCGATTCATGAACTCGCTTAACCGGAAAAAAGGTGCGCGTTAGATTCGAGTAATTACGGTATATGGCCAGCCTTAGCTCGTTTTTTACCTGTGCCGCAGCCGTCATTCACTGTATATGTATAAATATCTATATATATGAACCCCCCACCCCCTTTTAAGTACTGTAAGTGTTTTCGGTTAGCTCTGCCCCAAGTCCCACTTTTGTTTCATTTGCACGTTTATTTTCCGAAGTTTCATACCGAACCTGCATATAACGAAATCCTCTTTATAACGAAATTTTCTGGGATTTTATCAATTTCCTTATATCAAGGTGTAACTGTACTACCAGTTACGCTGAGACTACATAACTATTCTCGAGAATAACCATGTAATTAGCAGCCATGTGTGTAGCCACAAAAGTATCTGCTTAACATGCTGATGCGCATCTGTTGAACCAAACGCTAACACAAGCTTTCCGGCTCTAACTATTTCTTTTCACACTTTGCCGCCCTCATTTATGCCTCCCTTCCAATGAAACAAGCTGCTATGGTAGAAGTTAGTTGCTTAGAGTATTGCCACATTCCCTGCTCGAGTTTTGTTATCGCCCGGTTTTTACTGTCAGTAATTCTGAGTGCAAACCACGCCTGCAGTATTCGAGAAGCTTCAAGACTGCAGTACATCATTTTGTTAAGAATACGACCAATTCTCGAACTATACTGATTATTCTGGAACTTATGTGACCTCAAGTGATAACACTAGAATATTTGTTGGCACGTGTATAAATACAGACGTGCTTCACCGCTTGTTTAATATTTGACCTTCAGTCTATGCCCTTCGTCCACGTCACGACCCCCTGACAGTATACATTGCACTTCTTTTTGTTAAGTTTGTGCAAATAAATAATATCGGGACCTTCAGAAGAGACAAAGCTGTAAGGCACACAAAGTGCTTCTTTGTAAGAGAAAACTGCATTACGATTCTTCCATCCCTCCCAGATGCGCATTTTGAAACCCAGACTTGCCTATCGCCGATTATGTGGGACATTGCAGACTGCTGCAGCAGCAATTCATCGCTGCTGCATGTGCTTCTCGCAAGCATGATGCACACAATGCTGGTGCCGTCAAAAGCATTCAATCGTTTGTTATTTTTTCAACAGACCAAGTCAGCAGACCCTTGCAATTTAAACCAATGCCAGGTTTTGATACATCGGGCCTATGGGGAGCTTAGCAACTTGTATGATTGTACAACTCTGCTACACTACTGCATTAACGAAATAATTTGCAAAGCGTAAAGACTACTTATGCATTAGTTGCTGTGCCCACTGTTTAGTGCATAGCATAATTACATTTTTGTATCGCCCGGAGTTCGGCCTCATCTAAAAATGAAGTGAGATATTGAGGCTTAAAAAAAATTTAAAAACACACACGTAGCTTCAATTTTTATATTTGTTCTGGGAAAGAGCCTACAGTGATATAATCTATGCCAGAAGAGCTATCAATAATTCCTTAGTCTAACCTGACTAAATATCAAAAGATTTTGTTGGTCCTTGCTTAATGACATACTTTAGTCACAAAATAACACAAACACATAATAAAGAAACACACAATGACAGGTGGCACTTCCAAGTAAATTAGGCTAACTGCAAACCCAAAAATAAGCATACAAAATAGGTAGATATGAAACTGCGTACGAGTTGATGTAAGCCTATTACATAAAAGAAAATAAAGGCATATCAGCGACATGTCGGTGACGTTGTACATATTGGAAAAAGGGATTGTTAGATAGCTGGATAGCATGAGGCTATGTGGAGATGTTCGTATGTTTTATAGTTATTTCAGTATAACTTATAGTTGGAAGTGCCGCCTGTCCTTTTCGCTGATTTAGCGGCTGAAATATAGGTATTTCACTTTAGTCTCGTAAGGACATAGCAGTTTACGCAGGGCAGCCACTTTAATAAATCTCGTACCCTTCGGTGGACTCTGGAACCTCTGTGACCAGCACAGTCGACGGGCTGCGTTCATCCTCCTCCCCCTCCTGGGCGGCTTCCTCGATCACAGTGGCCTCGCCTTGGAACAGCGAAGCGTCTCGCGATTCTGTACAGAGGTTGCAATGCTCAGCCACGTAGGGACGGGTGAATATATTGCAACAGGATAGAAAAATGGGCTAGTTGGTAATTCATAATTGATCAGCGAACTGGGAGCACGTGAGGAACACACACACAAAACAAAGAGGAGGCACACAGCACGAGCGCGCTGCTGTGTGCCTCCTCTTTGCTTCGTGTGTGTTCCTCCCGCGCACCTCGTTCGCTGATGAATTACGAGTGAATAGCACAATCAAGGTTCAAGATGGATGCGCTCAGACCTATTTTTAACGAAGTTGCATTTGACACGACCATTATTTTGTTATTACAGTAGACTCACCATAATTCAAATTCTGACAATTCATACTTTCATTTAATTCAAACAAAATTGACTTTTTTGGTAGGCCTTCTATTCTTTCAAAGTATTCAAAAGCCTCTTAATTCAAACTCCATTACTCCGTAAATTCATACTTTTTGCAGTTGCATACCAGAATTATCTGCTGCTTTCCCACTGCTATTTAAAGACTTGTGTGCTTAAAACGAAAAATAAGCACTTCAGGCCTTCAAGAAAAAAGGCTTAGCTAGTAAATAAATGTTTGAAACAAAGCACACACATGGTAAACCGTGATGCTTCTTAACTGGTATAGAGAGCTTTGTGCTGGAGGCACATACCTATAGCAATGATGCAGTTAGAAATTCCCAATTTCTTTAAAAGGTCTGATCAGTAGTAAATTGCCAATAAACTTATGGACTTTACACCTCTGCTTTCTGTTCACCGTGTGCAGTTACGATTTGGGGACACTTAGAAAGTTTTCAAGTGTTATAAAACCAATGCCTAATCATAATGTGTGGTGTCACCTCACCCGTAGTCGTCTATCTGAGAGCTTCTGATAATTCAAACTAAATTCGGAGGTCCCTTTGAGTTTGAATGAACGAGAGTCGACTGTATTCACTATAAATTATATTCACAACACAATGTTTATCAGAAAACTATTATTCAGTTTAATTACAACTGATTACATCAATGTTCACTGTATCGAGATTTCAGTGCAGTCACTTGGTCAGATAATTTCAAACCAAATAGTTCGAACAGCATATATGTATAACACATAATAAAGAAAAACGAACACTTCTTTTCATGAAACTACTTGAAAATTTTTTAAGAAATCGTAACTAGACAAGAGCGACTGTCATTACTTTTGGGCTTGAAGTGATGTGGAAGCATCTTTGCATAGCAGCAACATGTAGGGCCCAACTTACACACAATAAAATACGCTACAAGTTTATTATTTTGAGGTCGTGTATGCCTGTATGAAACACTTTAAAACATAATTAAGGTGCATGTAATATAATCATCACGCTGACTACGCCCATTGCAGGGCAAAGGCCTTTCTCATAATCTGCCAATCAGCCCGGTCTCGTGCTTTGCGTTGCCACATTATAACTGTAACTTTTTAATCTCATCGGCCCACCTAACTTCCTGTCTCCCCTTCGTGTGTTTGCCTTGTTAGAGAATACAGTCAGTTGCCCTTAACGACCAACGGTTATCCTGCCTATGAGTTACGTGCCCGGGCACTGTCCATTTCTTTCTTCTTCTTGATTTCTACTATAATATCCTTAACCCCAGTTTGTTCTCTGACTCACTCTACTCTCTTCTTGTCTCTTAAAGGGTCCCTGAAACAGTGTTTTAACATTACGTTTTTTATTAGACCACTGGAGCAAATCATTGGCACCAGAGTTCGATCAAAACACCCATTATTAACAAAGCTACGAATACTAAACAAGAACCCTCCTCTTGCAGTGGGGCAGAGCGTGTCGCTTGGTGTATGGGCGGTTGAAAACGCATTTGGCCGAGTCGCAGCGATCTGCAACAATTCAGTTTTAAAGCATTGTAATAAATTACACAGTTTTCGCAGAGAGCTTAAATCGGTCTCTAAATTGGTCTCATTTTTGGAACTTGGTCTACCGGCTCAATGTGTTTGTAAAAAATTTTCTAAACCGTTTCAGGGTCCCTTTAAAGTTACACCTACCATTTTTCTTTCCAGCGCTCACTGTGTCGTCCTAAATTTAAGCTGAAACCTCTTTGTAAGTTTCCAGGTTTCTGCTCCATAGGTAAGTACTAGCAAGATGCAGCTGTTATATACCTTATTCTTGAGGGTCAGTGGCAGATTACCATTCATCATTTCAGAATGCTTGCCAAATGTGATTCACCCCATCCCTATTCTTCTCGTTATTTCACTATAATGATTCAGCTCCGCGGTTACCAACTGTCCAAAGTAGACATATTCCTTAACAACTTCCGGCGTCACTCCACCTATCGCAAAGCGCCGTTTTCTGTCGAGATTGACGCACATTACTTTAGTATTTTGCATATTAATTTTTCAAACCTACTCTTCTGCTTTCCGTGTCCAGTTCAGTAATCATCAGCTGTAATTGTCCCCCGAGTTACTCATCAACACAATGTCATCAGCAAATCACGGGTTACTAAGGTACTCTCCATTAACTTTTATCCTTAGCTCTTCCTGATCTAGGGCCCTGAAAACCTCCTGTAAACAAATAGTGAATAGCATTGGAGAGATCGTGTATCCCTGCCTTAAACCCTTCTTTATTGGAATTTTGTCACTTTCTTAATGGAGAACTATGGTGGCTGTCGATCCATTGCAGATTTCTTCCAGTATGCTTACGTGGGGTTCGTCAATGCCTTGATTCCGCAGTGCCTGCGTTGCTGCTGATGTCTTGACCGAGTCAAACGCCTTCTCGTAATTTATGAAAGCTATGTATAGGGGTTGATTGTATTCCACGCATTTCACTATTACCTGATTGATAGCATAAATATAATATATCGTGAAGTAGCCTTACGAAATACTTCATGGTTAATTGGTTGATTGAACTCTAATGTTGCCTTAATTCTATTAGCTAGTATTCGTTAATTAGTTTGTAGAGAACGCACGGTAAGCTGATTGGCCAGTAAACATTCAATTCCTTGACATCTCCCTTCTTATAGATTAAAATGATGTTAGCATACTTCCGAAAATTTTATACCTTTCCCGTCAAGAGACACTTCTATATAAGGTTGCCAGTTTCTCTAACACAATTTTTACACCATCTTTCAGCAAGTCTGTTAGTTTGTTGCCTTATCCTTACTAGCGGCCTTGCCTCTTTGCATTCCTTTTAAGGCTTTGCTTACTTCTGCCATCGTTACCAGTAGAATGTCGAATTCCTCTGGACCATTATTGTTTCTCAAAATATCATCCTGGTTGTTCTGGCTTCTGTACAGCTCTATGTAGAACTCCTCTTCTACCTTGAATATCCTATACATATTGGTTATGACATTGCCTTCCTCATTTTTTAATGCATACATCCTACTTTTGCCTAAGCGCAAGTTTGCCTTTGCAGCTTCTAGGCTTCTGCCGCTTTTTACAGCCTGCTCAATTCTTTCCATGTTATACTTCCCGATGTCGGCTACTTTAACTTCGAAAGCTCCACTAGCTCTATTTTGTCGGTTGCATTTGAGGCTCACGAACTTCGATATTTCGCGATTCGTTCCGTGCAAATTAACAGCCGTTCTCGCGCTTCCACACGTGCGCGGAAGGCATGCTGAGCCGAGTGTGAAGTGAGCGAGAACAAAGTCTTAAACATGAAACGAATCGCAAATTCCAAAAGGATCATAATGTGGGCCAGTTGGTAATTCATTTTCTTCGTTCAGCGAACTGGGAGCGCAGAGAAAACACAAAGGACGAAGGGAGGAACCACACAACACGAGCGCTCACTATCAACTGATTTATTTTCCACATCGGAAGGAACATATATAAACACAAAATGCGCATGTCAAAAAAGATTATGACGAAATCAAGGGCAGCATGCGAAGCGTGTAATCAAGGCACACCCTTAGGCATAATCAAGGCATAACCCTTAGACATGTGCCTTGATTACACGCTTCGCATGCTGCCCTTGATTTCGTCATAATCTTTTTTGACATGCGCATTTTGTGTTTATATATGTTCCTTCCGATGTGGAAAATAAATCAGTTGATAGTGAGCGCTCGTGTTGTGTGGTTCCTCCCTTCGTCCTTTGTGTTTTCTCTGCGCTCCCAGTTCGCTGAACGAAGAAAATGAATCGTAAATTATCAGAGTCGGTGGGGTAGCGTACGCGCGTGCACTAGACGCAGACTATCAGATACAGTCGGTGGCCGACGATGTTAGCAAATGATCTGGTCACTCCAGGCCGGCGACGCCAACGACAGTACCAGCGATCAAAAACAGGGTAGATGGCCGACCGGCCTTCGAAAGATGGGTGGCAGTGTGAAAACACGGGCCTCATCTGGCGATGCGGTGTGCTCAGAGTAGAGGGGGTCAAAAGATGGAGGGTGTGTAACAAAAAGCAGTTAGGGCATGGAGGAAAGAAACAACTTTCCTTCCTCCATGGTTTGGGGAGAGCAGCAAGTAGAGGGTCGCGGAGGCAGGGTTGGCGTTTAACAATAAAAATGTATGGGCACCTCGCCGATGCCTGATCGGTGGTCGAAATTGCTTTCCCGGGAAGTCGGCAGACCGCTGACTCTGTTCGCTGTAACCGATCAGCGGTGCTCGGAAACGTTAGTAGTAAGTGCGATTTCGTGCCATTGAACCAATGTATGTTTTCACGGTCATGCAGATATTGTTTGTTTTAAGTGAAAGTTCGTTTTAAGTGGAGCCGTTATATGTGGGCTCGACTGTAATAAATAAATTTATTCAAATCGATAAAGGACTTTTAAGAAAGTCTTCAGGTGCAATTCTCGAAATTTATTATTAAAAAACAATACAAAATTTGGGCGTGTGAAAACCCTGAAACGACAATGAAGTGTGCCATGATGGGGCACTACAGGTTGAGTTTGATCATTTTTTGGACTGAAACGCAAGTACATGGCTGCTTCAACCCCACAGATGTGCATGGGAATCAAAACCAACCTCCTTGAACTAAGCAATGCAAAACCTGAGAAATCTGACACAAAGCTTCACTCTCCCATGCTTTAGAGAG